GCTGAAGCTCTTCAGCCTAAAGTAGAGAAGGCTCTAGGGTGACCTCGTTGCAGCTTTTGAACACTTAAAGGAGTCTTACAAAAAAAGATGGAGAGCAACCTTTTGCTCAGTCAGATAATGACAGGACAAGGAGGAATGGTTTTAAACTAAAAGAGGGGGGTTTAAATTAGAGGTTAGGAGGAAATTCTTCACTCAGGGTGGTGAGGCATGGGACCAGGTTGCCCAGAGAAGTATTGTGGATGCCCCATCCCTGGAGGCATTCCAGGCCAGGAAAGATGGGGTTTGGGGCAACCTGGTGTAGTGGGTGGCATCCCTGGCCATGGCAGGGAGTTGGAATGAGATGATCTTTAAAGTCTCTTCCAACCCAAGATGTTTTAGGATTCTATGAACATGGAACATAGGGTTTTGATCCAACGTATAAGTAGAATATGACCAAACTATCCAGTTCTAGATATCTTAACACTCAGACTGGTTGGCTGACTATATGCGTAATGTGTTGTATTTCCTACTTCACTCCCACAAAATCACAGAATCACAGAATTTCTAGGTTGGAAGAGACCTCAAGATCATCGAGTCCAACCTCTAACCTAACTCTAACAGTCCCCACTAAACCATATCCCTAAGCTCTACATCTAAACGTCTTTTGAAGACTTCCAGGGATGGTGACTCCACCACCTCCCTGGGCAGCCCGTTCCAGTGCCTAACAACCCTTTCAGTAAAGAAATTCTTCCTAACATCTAACCTAAAACTCCCCTGGCGTAACTTTAGCCCATTCCCCCTCGTCCTGTCACCAGGCACATGGGAGAACAGGCCAACCCCCACCTCTCTACAGCCTCCTTTAATGTACTTATACAGAGCAATAAGGTCACCCCTGAGCCTCCTCTTCTCCAGGCTGAACAAGCCCAGCTCCTTCAGCCGCTCCTCATAGGACTTGCTCTCCAGGCCCCTCAGCAGCTTCGTCGCCCTTCTTTGGACCCGCTCAAGCACCTCGATGTCCTTCTTGTAGCGAGGGGCCCAAAACTGAACACAGTACTCGAGGTGCGGCCTCACCAGAGCTGAGTACAAGGGGACGATCACCTCCCTAGCCCTGCTGGTCACACTGTTTCTGATACAAGCCAGGATGCCGTTGGCCTTCTTGGCCACCTGAGCACACTGCTGGCTCATATTCAGCCGACTGTCCACCATCACTCCCAGGTCCTTCTCTGCCTGGCAGCTCTCCAACCATTCCTCTCCCAGCCTGTAGTTCTGCTTGGGGTTATTGCGCCCCAGGTGGAGGACCCGGCACTTGGCCTTGTTGAACTTCATACAGTTGACCTCAGCCCATCGGTGCAGCCTATCCAGATCCTCCTGCAGAGCCTTCCTACCCTCGAGCAGATCGACACACGCACCTAGCTTGGTGTCATCTGCAAACTTACTGAGGGTGCACTCAATGCCGTCATCCAGATCATTGATGAAGATGTTAAAGAGGACCGGCCCCAGCACCGAGCCCTGGGGGACGCCACTAGTGACTGGCCTCCAACTGGACTTGGCTCCATTCACCACAACTCTTTGGGCCCGGCTATCCAGCCAGTTTCTAACCCAACGAAGCGTGCACCAGTCCAAGCCAAGAGCAGCCAGTTTCTTGAGGAGAATGCTGTGGGAGACGGTGTCAAAAGCCTTGCTGAAGTCAAGGTAGACCACATCCACAGCCTTTCCCTCATCCACCCAGCGTGTCACTTTGTCGTAGAAGGAGATCAGGTTCGTCAAGCAGGACCTGCCTTCCATAAACCCATGCTGGCTGGGCCTGATCGCCTGCTTGCCCTTCAAGTGCCGCATGATGACTCCCAAGAGGATCTGCTCCATGAGCTTCCCTGGTACTGAGGTCAAACTGACCGGCCTGTAGTTCCCCGGGTCTGCCCTCCGGCCCTTCTTGTAGATGGGCGTCACATTTGCTAGTCGCCAGTCAGCTGGGACCTCCCCCGATAGCCAGGACTGCTGATAAATGATGGATAGGGGCTTGGCCAGCTCCTCTGCCAGTTCTCTCAGTACCCTTGGGTGGATCCCATCCGGCCCCATCGATTTGTGGACATCCAAGTGCCGTAGCAGGTCACCAACCAGTTCTTCGTGGATGGTGAGGGCCACATCCTGCTCCCCGTCCCCTTCCACCAGTTCTGGGTACTGGGTATCCAGAGAGCAACCGGTTTTGCCGCTAAAGACTGAGGCAAAGAAGGCATTAAGCACCTCCGCCTTTTCCTCATCTCTTGTAACTAAGTTTCCCCCTGCATCCAGTAAAGGATGGAGATTCTCCCTAGTCCTCCTTTTGGTGTTGATGTATTTATAAAAGCGTTTTTTGTTATCTTTAACGGCAGTAGCCAGATTGAGCTCCAGATGAGCTTTGGCCTTCCTAATTTTGTCCCTGCACAGCCTCGCTACATCCTTATAGTCCTCCTTAGTGGCCTGCCCAATTTTCCAAAGATTATAAACCCTCTTTTTTCTCCTAAGCTCAAGCCACAATTCTCTGTTGAGCCAGGCTGGTCTTCTTCCCCGCTGGCTCATCTTTGGGCGCATGGGAATAGACCGCTCCTGCGCCATTAGGATTTGCCTCTTAAAGAGCGCCCAGCCTTTCTGGACCCCTCTGCCCTTCAGAACCGCCTCCCATGGGACTCCACCAACTAGTGTCCTGAGCAGCCCAAAGTCAGCCCTCCGAAAGTCCAATACAGTGGTTTTACTGGTTCCCTTCCTGGCCCCGCCAAGAATAGTGAACTCCACCATTTCGTGGTCACTCTGCCCAAGACTGTTCCCGACAATCACATCCTCCACCAGTCCTTCTCTGTTTGTGAAGAGAAGGTCTAGCAGGGCACCACCCCTGGTAGGTTCACTAATCAGCTGCGTCAGGAAGCTATCTTCCACTTTCTCCAGAAACCTCCTAGACTGCTTCCTCTGGGCTGTGTTGTGCTTCCAGGATATGTCAGGGAAGTTGAAGTCCCCCACGAGTACAATTGCTGAAGATTTCGCAACTTCTGCCAGCTGCCTGTAGAACTCCTCATCCGTCTCCTCATCCTGGTTCGGCGGTCTATAGCAGACCCCCACCAGGACACTAGCCTTGTTGTCCCTGCCGATCCTAACCCAAAGGGACTCGATCTTGTCATTCCTAGCCTCGAGTTCTACAACATCGAAAGACTCTCTAATATAGAGAGCCACACCGCCACCCCTTCTGTGCTGCCTGTCCCTTCTGAAGAGCCTATAGCCAGGCATCGCAGCACTCCAGTCATGAGACTGGTCCCACCACGTTTCCGTGATGGCAACCAAGTCGTAGCCTGCCCGCTGCACGATGGCTTCCAGTTCCTCCTGTTTGTTACCCATGCTGCATGCATTGGTGTAGATGCACTTCAGCTGGGCCTTTACCTTATCCCCCGGCCTTGCCATTGCTCCCCCTGGCACAGCCCCAACAGTCCTTGCTTCAGCCCCATCCCCCTTCTTACCTAGTTTAAAGCCCTATCAATGAGCCCTGCCAGCTCCTGGCCCAGGATCCTTTTTCCCCTAAAGGATAGGGACCCGTCTACGGCCATCAGACCAGGTGCTGAGTAAACTGCCCCATGGTCGAAAAACCCAAGATTTCTGCGTAGGCACCAGCCCCGGAGCCACCTGTTTAACAGGTGGGCTTTTCTTGTCCTCTCCGTACCCCTCCCTGTCAACGTAGGGATGGACGAAAATACTACCTGCACTCCTGCTCCGTCCACTAACCGTCCCAGCCCCCTAAAGTCTCTTTTGATAGCCTTCAGGCTTCTGTCATCAATGTCATCACTGCCCGCCTGGACTATCAGAAGAGGATAATAATCAGAGGGGCGTACCGGGTTGGGGAGCTTCCTGGCAACATCCCTGACCCTGGCCCCAGGGAGGCAGCAGACTTCCCTACGGGTAGGGTCAGGCCGACAAATAGGGCCCTCTGTCCCCCTAAGGATAGAGTCTCCCACGACAATCACCCTTCTTTCTTTCTTGGTGGAGGCAGTCCTGATGCGTGGAGTCGACCTCCTCGCCCTAGGCATCCTCCTGGGAACACTTTCTATCTCTTCCTCAGTTGCTGGTCTCTCAATCTCCAGGGCCTCAAACCTGTTTCGTAAGGGCACCTGGGAAGGTGGGGCCGGAAGGGGAGGGCAAATCCCCTGTCACTTAAATGTCTGTTGATATGATGAAAAACTTTTAAGTCATTTTGAAAACTGATTTTAGTGCAGCTTGGCTCATAGAGAGATGAGTCAAGCTGCACTAAACATACTTAACTTATTTAAGTTAAATAACATATTTAAGTAACATACTTAAAGTTCTCTACAACACTCAAAATGTAAAGGAGGAGTTGTCAGATACTGGGAACATGTAACAGAGCTTTGTAAAGAAGTGGGAACTTGACATGAGCTTTAAAATTAATTCAAAACACTTAATTCCACCTCCTCAGGCATAACTAGAGAGAGAGAAAATAAATGGTAACGTGAAAAAGAAATAAAGCGACTTTGCCAGAAAATTCTATAGCCAAACAAAGTGGTCTTTTTTAGATGGAAGTAATTTGGCAGAGAGATGTTGAAAATAGTAAGGTGGATCCACGTGGTCTCATGTTTGGATCTCATGACTGCAGCTTCGTTTTGTGTCTAAACTTAAAGCTATCAGTTGCATACCATACTCAGATACAGCAGAAGCACCACCTTGAATGTACAAAACTCATGATTGAGGCATATATTTGCCTGAACAGAAGGATGAGTCTAGCTTATTGTCTCTTGTCTGAGCCAGATAAGAAAAAGAACAGCGTATAGGTAAGAACAGATAGATTCATTTTTTCTTCTTACACATTAAGATGATCCTATCTAAGCAAAACATGAAGTTGGTTCCAGAAAGCATATAGTATCATGCTGTATATATCTTAGCAGAGTATGTTTATTTAGGTTCAGCACCATTATAAACTGACAGTATAGATTTCTTGTCTAGAGCCACGTTCCCTGCAGATGTAGCAAGGACCCTTGTAGGCCTGAAAAATGGGCTTGCTGAGGGACCCTCCAAACCACTATATGTGTGTTCCTGCTGGAATAAGTAATCTGTAACTTTAGGTATATGGGAATACTTGATGTGCTGCATAGATCAGCTCATGGAATGTCAGTTAAAACCTCCCAACAGTGTTTATCCATCTTGTCAGCTTCCACCCCAGGTGAAAAAAATATAATAAATTCTGCCAACTACAGTCTTTTATTGAGAGGAGTTTTATGTTAATTTGTGGTGAACATTGTCCTTTCAGTTTCCACTGTGTTTTTCTCATATTCATAGTTTTTCAAATATTCTAGAAGTTTTACTACCTTGGTAGCCGAATTATGGATAATTCATTGCACTATTTTTAGTGGTTTCTTTGCCCTCAATGTGTATACAAAAATGAATCTATGGAGATGTATGGGTATGCATGAGAACTATTATTATCTTTTAAGTGCCAGCAGCAGTGCTTTTCTCATGGTCCATTAAGGAATTCATATCCTGACAACTTCACCTGAAATGGTGAGTAGCCAAATTCTATATACTTTTTTGTTTGGAGGTAATTCTGTATTGACTAAGAGGCTGCTGTCACTACCTGCATTAGGCATCAGCTGATAAGTTTAAAACAATAGATTAATTTCAATCATAGGAGCTACTATCAACTCATCTTTTGTATAAGAGTTGAAGTGCTTTGAATTAATATGAAAATGCTAAATACAGAAATATTTTTAAATGAACAAGACTGTTTTTTAGAGATGTGTTAAATACTAAAGATAAATGTGAAGGGTCTCAAAAAATCTTAGTATTGCATTTAGCATTTACAGAGCAGGGTCACAGGGAGAATACTTTATTCCATTTTTTTTTTTTTCTTTTTTTTACACAAACTGGCAGTGCTTTTAAAACAGCTCTTTCGCATCAGCTCTGTCCATAATTGTTCTGTTTTGGCTGGCTAGTAATATTTGCTGAAATACCACTTCTTATCTTCCATCTCTTCTCTGGCTGTTAACCACTTTTCAGCTACTCCTCTGCAACTTCTGACGTGTTGGACTTCTTTGGGAGAAAATGTATAGTGCTTTAGATAGTCTTTGAGTGCTGCCTGTTTTTTTTTATTATTTTTATTTTTTTTTTAATTTTTATTTAAGTAGCACGTCCAACAATTGTATTTGTAAGGAGCATTCAAATTTCTCATAAATAACTGTGAAAATTGTTCTCAATGTGTTTAAGCTACATGGCAGTGATGAAGGAATAAGGTTATTTGGAACCATAATTCCTAAGACATTAATTACTTATTATTTTCTTCTGGTATGATGGAAGTTGTTCCCTGCTTGCATTTCAAACTCTATGCCTTGGTTTTTTAGTGTCCCCAGTCAATGATACTAGGAACAAGAAATGTTTCATATTGTCTTCTGCAGGTAAATCGTATAGAAGGGTGTCTCCTTATGAGGAATGATAAAGGAAAGTATGGAATTGATGTAATCTTTATTCTTTAATTTTTCATTAAAAAAAAAAAGTTTTTAATAAGAATTACTCATTGTATGTAACATATCAAGGCTTTTATGATCTTCAGAACATGGAATGCTTTTTGTTCCAGCTGAAGTCACATACCAGAGTGATGAGGATCAAAAACCCTACAGAGGCAGGAAGATGGATGTCCTATAAGGGTAAATTATTTTCTTATTCATGTTGACCTATTGTGCAGAATATACTGTGATTTGGCATTAGCTCCAACTCTCACTTTTAAGAGTAAAATAAAATTGCTATTCAGGCTGTATTCTTATTGTCCTTTGTTTTAATTTCCGGATTTACATGTGTTGTAAAACTCAACAAGATGATTTCTGTTGTGAGACCTAAATACAACTTTATCATAGTTTATTAAAAGCATGATGATGGTTATTTGGTTAGCCACAAATTTCCTTTCTCATGCTCATAGTCTCAGATTACTAAACTATCATCTGGCATTCTCAGACATGCTAACTAATTGCCCTGTAGTAGACAAATAAAGAGCACGTTTACAAGTAATGTGTGGGACGTACTAACTAATGTCAATTCATGTGTTGCCTGGATACAGGTTTTATTTGAGTTTGGGATTATTTAATTAACTTCTTAATTGTCAAGTACAGGGAATTGAAGCATACAGTCCAAAGTCTAGTCAATGGAAAAACTCAATAGGCTGTAATGGACTTTGGCTCAAACATCTACTGCTATGGTCATCAACAGTATTGTAGTTGCAACACAAAAAAATGAAAATTAAAAGGGGCTTAGATGATGTTGGATGTGTCTATTGGAGGGGAAGGTTGCATATCAGGTTAAAGGAAATCCATTTGTAGAGAGTATTGTTCAATGTGTTTCAGATAAAAAGAAAATTTTTCCTTTCAAAGAGGAAATGTTGAACAGCCACTTAGGTGAACATCATGTGGCTGTCTAATGGGCAAAGCATAAAGGTCCTGTGGAAGGAGAACTATATGTGGTAGTGGGTAGTGATATCTCTCTGCTTTATAATGGTCTTTCTTATCTGTTTTGGGAGATGGAAGTTGCAGGAAATCATTGGTGTTTAATATTAGTATATACTGTTCAACATTCAATGAAAACAGAGAGAAGTACAGAGGATGTATAGATAACTTTTAAAGGTGAGTCATAGCTCCCTGTTCATAAAGTTGTAGAAACACGCAGTGGAGAAGTGTGTCTGAGTTAACTGTGAATGATGACTGGGGCAGAAGAAAGGCTTCTGCAGATGTTTGGATTTAGAGATGTTGATCTGGTAAGGAAAAAACTCTTAATTCATTTGCCTTCAATCTATGGGTAACTTCTACTCAAGAGGAGAACAACTAGAACAATCTAGTAAAGTTGCCTGATTTAACAAAGCTGAAATATGAATGTATCATTAGGCTACATTAGGCTGGCTGTGCAAGATGAGATGGGGCTCATCACATTGATTATTTTTTCCCAACTCAGAAGAGGGACAAAAAGTCCATGGAACTTTAAACATGTGCTATCTACTCTAACATCCTCTCAAAAAGGGCTTGGTACATGAAAACACCGTAATAGTAATATATGCTTTATTATGTTTGTCTGTCATAACTGTTTTGTGGTGAAACAAGAGGTTTTAGTGTAAAGCTTCTAATTTCAGCTTCATCATGACTAATAAGGAAGGATCAAATTTCCCAGCATACTACTCTATATGGAAAGGAGAGAGATGGCAATGGACACTGAACCCACCCAAGAGCACTGAAAATTAAAATGGTGATGAATGCCTGGTAAAAACATTAATGCAGAAAATGAGATCATCCACAGGAGATGGGAAGCATAGGAGATATTGCTGCTGACTTTCACGGGGGAGATGCAGAGATGAGGGCTGAGAACCAACAGACATACAGCTAGTGCCCTCTGTTCTTTGGGACTAGAGGCTAAGGCAACCCAGAGTAAAGTGTGCTTCTGCTCTTCTCTGGAGACATGACTGATGGCATGCTGTCTTCTTGGCAGGTGTTTGTGCTCATACTTGTGGGTGCAGAGACTTTGTCACTGCTTGGTCTCCTTTGGATCTGCAGCATACATTTCTGTTGGGAAACAAAACATTTTGTTGGAAATGTTGTATGTGGCATAGATAGGTGTAAACTGCCTTGTCTGAAACAGAGCATCTGATGGGATATAAAGTGTTGTCCTATTTGTTTCCAAAAAGTTTTTTTGTTTTTATTTTTTTTTTTTTTCAGGGGTGATGGTTTACTGACTATGAATGCTTTCAAAGACCTGCTTAAACAAAAGCTGTGAACCTAAATCAGTTTGCCCTATTAGAAGCTGGAGGTCTGTATTTGCTGTACTGAATGGAATTTTCTACTGTCCTAATCTGACTGGAATGGAGAGTAAGATAAAATTTGCACATTGAAATTGCATGCTGAAATGGAGGTGGGAAGGGAATGGGAGAAAGGGGGAGCCCACACCTTTTCCAGCAATTAGATTAGCTATGGAAACATGTTTATAAATAGGTTGAACACCACCTCTTTTTTCTTTGCTTTCACCCTGCGTTCCTTCTGATTTGTTGCAAAGGGAGGCTTGACTCCTCTACAATGGTGATGTGGTGGATTTGATTCACAGGCTAAGAGTTAAGGTGTTTCTTGTACCACAGCTTTATAAGAAAAAAAAAAAGAGGATATTTATTTGAGTGTTATTTACCAGACTTTGTTTATATGAGTACTAAATCCATCTAATCCGTTGGATTTTTTGAGATTACGTGCAGATGAAATACTAGAGACCTGTCTTTCAGACAGATTTCCTCTACTTCAGCACAATTGGTCCCTACATCAGCTTTTACAGACTTATGGTAGCTACTTTACAGTTCCTTAGACCTTCAGAAAAGCTGATCCAAGTTTTATAATCCTTTTTTTTTTTTTTTTTTTTTTTTTCTATAGATGATTTTTCAGAAGCCAGGAGTGTCTCTCTAGAATCTCTTTCTTGCCTTATTAGTTTCTGGCAATTTTGAGCTGATTCTTTGTTTCCTATTCCAAGAGTCTGGAATGCTACAATATTTTTAATTCAGTGTTTGAGGAAGAACTCTGTCTGTCATGTAATAACTTGTGTCCTGTTCCAGAAGTTCATAATAATTTTATTTAATATTCTAACACACCAGTCTTTGACTTAAAACAATATGTCTGGTGTTTTTGTAACAGCAATGGTATGAAGATTTAAAGGGAGGTAAAGTGTTTAAAGATATATTGCATCCCCTTCTACAACTTGCTTCTTTTTAGAAAGAAAAATAAAAAGAAAATTGCTTACAGTGCTGCCTTGTGCAGCTATCCCACAGTAACTGGAAGAATATATTTTTAATAAAATATTTTAGGAGAGTGCCCAATCATTCCTGAAAGCCATTTCCTGTCAGAAGTCCTTTTTCTCACCTTTCATTTGCCCTTCTGAGCTCACTGGGGGGAATGAATTACTCTTTAATTTTAATTCTCCATGAGTGGCATGTAGCATACTGTAAGGATCAATGTCAGGATGCAGGATGTAGCACACAGTCCTGGAGGCCAGCACATCCAAGACACAGGTTGGTATGAGACAAAAAAAGAAGTCCCTAAACCCTCCTTCCATCATCCATTGCTTCAGTTACAGCAGCCACATTGCTGACCTGTAACAGACTCTTGCTGTAACACCTGAAGTGTGCAGACATGATACTCAGTAATGTCCACTGAATACCTAGATAAGATCAGTGCAACTGGCCTTGTTCACCATCACATAAAATAGAAAGTACTACGTTCAATGCACTTTTTAGAACCACTGCATGCTAGATGTTTTGTTGGAAAAAATGCATACTTTGTCACAGCTTGACAATATAGGAGAGGTGTTAAGATTTTCCGTCTTTGCTAGGAAAACAGTTTACAAAATGAAAGTGCTCCACAAATATAGCTTTCCAATCTGCTTTTCCTCTGGGATTTGGCCTTGAAACTCCAAATTTAATATGTTGAACAGAATAATGCTGTAACTTGGAAAAAGAAAAAAACCCTACTCTTAAAAATAAATACATTTAAAAAAAAACCTACCTCACTCCCTCTCCTTCATGAAAAGCCCTCTGGAAAAAATCAGAAAGAAAATACTGCGCTCATTTGAGGCTGCAAGCTAGACAACCCCTTTGCTTTTTATTTTGGTTAGAAGTTTGAACTCCCTCGCTCCACAACTAACCTGAACAAATATTATGCCTTAGATGATTTCAAGAGAACAAATTCCAAAACAAGAAAAGAAACAATAGACAACAAATCTTTTTTCTCATGGGAGAAAAATAGGTGGCTAATTGTCCTTCTGAGAATGATAGATAATCATTTGCAAGCATTTTTTCAACAAACAAAAGTACGATTTATATAGTTTAAGTTGGGAAGGAGAAAAAAAAAAAAAAACACACAAAAAAAACACAACTCATACACAGTAGTTTTGAACTACTTTCAGCCCTACTGTGCCGGGTACACAGTGTAATAATATTCTTAGCAAAACAAGGAATCGTTTATACAACCCCATGCTGTATAGGAACCCTGTAAATACTGGAATTTTACATAATGTAAAAGTGTCACGCTTTAGAGAGGGTATTACATACTTTTGCTACCAGGAACGAAATTATGTGGTTAGTAAAAACATTTATCTATAGACCTGTTGCTGGTGTTGAGCAATACTGAATTTTAGAATACTTGTTTAAGTTCAGATCCTTGCATATCTCCTGCTAAGCAAAACTCACAGTGTCAGAGCGGTACTTCCATGTGTGGTGACCTTTTCAATTCCTTGTGATGATCCCCTGGTATAGACACAGCAAACTCCTGCTGATTTCTTGCTTCCTTCAAAGGGAAGGGAAGGGAAATAAAAGGCCCCATTATCTACCCATAAGAGCTCTCAAAATCTGATTAAACTTTGACTGTGGTGGATGGTTTCCCTGGTAGCCCCAAGGCACAGTTCACACCATCTCTCTGAATGAAGACTGAAAAGTGTATCCCCTGAACTCCTGGAGGGAGTGCAGTCACCTGCACTTTCTGAAGCTTTTGCACGGTGATTCAGCCTGGCACTGGATATGATTAAGAGTTTCTTGCAGGTAGTGACCGCTTAAGAGTTTTCCTGTTACTCTAGGGAGCACCAATCTTTTTAAATGCATGAGTGGGGAAAAGAACTTGGAGGACAAAAAGGTGGCATGCTAATCAGACCTGGTGTTTATGGCAAGTGCTATGGCTGGCAAAGAACATGTTCAGGACTTTGCCAACTTTCTTGAATCTGCAGGTCTCTTGTCGCTTTTGGGTGGGAACCATCTATAGTTAAGAAATTTTGCAGGAATGCTTGTGCTCTTTATCTGTCCCCAGGATCTGACTAGAAACCAGAGATTTACCGGTTGTCTCAAATGGAATAGCTGGTAGGCTAAGGAGGATTAAATCCACTTGCATGGGGACTCGTGTGTGTGCACTGCAAAACCCCACTGCTCGAAAAGATGCCAAGAATGAGGTCTCCATAAGGAGAATGTACTTGGGGTGGATTTACCTAGGTGCATGCAAGTAGGCACAAGATGGTTCAGGGGATATTCAGTTAAGTTTGTGTGTTGCTGTGTAGGTCAGAATACTCATTAGCTGGTCCCCAGAATTACATTAACATTGCTGCCCTTCTCCAGGACTGTGGCTGGCTTGTCTCCAGCAGGTGCAGACAGCAGAGCAAACATATAACCATCTTACACTAACTACAGTGATCAGCTCATAGGAGAGGGAATCTGCAATCCTGTTAAGTCCATAAACAGCAGAGAGGCACAGATGCTCAGTACATCTGGTACATAGATGTTCTACTATGAATCTAGGTGTCTCATTCTGGACTTCCTGCCCCTGATTATGTTATCTCTGTTTCTCACCTGGCTGTCTTCACTGTTATTCCTGAGCAGATTTTTCCGTTTATCTTTTACTAGAGTTTCTTGCCTGATATTTAACCCAAAAGAACTCTGGTAATGCAGTGGAAGAAGAGTTCTTCACTGTTCCCAAGGGAATGTTCTCTTCCCACAACTGTAACAAGATGCTTCTGAGTAAAAACTCAAAATAATAATTTAATTTGACACAGCCTTGCACTACACTTTCCTACCGAACACCCTGGCTAATACCATTCTTCTGTCTTCCCCTTCCTCACTGCAATGATCTGCATCCTTTGAATTTTTGTGATTTTTGAAATCTTTTCCATCCTGATCCTAGAGCGAACTTGCATGAAGTATGAAAATGATAAGCACATTTTGGAGTCTCAATACAAAATGTTGCAAAATCAGCATGATCTGTTTGGTAGTATTTTTATTTTTTTTTTTTTTTTAGTATTAAAAATCTAGAGTTTTATATAAAACCAAAGAATAACAGCCCAATTAAAATTGATTTTTGTTATGCTATTTTTTGAGGTTATTTGTCCCTATCTTTAGGAAGAAAACAAGTGGTGAACCCAGGTACTAAGAAACATAGGGCACATTCATATTATACATTAGGAACTGAATACAGAAACAGATTTTTTTCTTCCATTAGATGTTTGGAACACAGGGAGGCAGCGCTAGTTGCTTTTGACACACTGCTGCTTTAGTAAACGTAAATACAGAGAGGCTTTGGGTCTGGTCCTGTATTGTTCTGATGTCCAAATGCCAAGTACTGTCCCATTCCCACAGAGCCTGAAAGAGAAATCTTCATCATGTGGTAGTATCCAGTCTCTAGACATTGTTTTCATATCCATGCAGACAGAGAATGTCTGTGGGGAAATGTCTTGTGGCTAATGCTTCATTTGTTTGTTTCTACCCTTATATGCAGTGGCTCTGTGTTACTTTAAGAAGACTGTGAGATGTAATCACTGCAGGAGGTGATTTTCCTTTGGTAGCTTCTGCCCCTTGGAGCTGCTGAGCTTGCTCAAAAGGCACAAGCTTCTAGACATGGCTGTGTGTGGCAGACCAAGGCAGTACCAGAAAGAAAAAGGAAGCCTGAGGATCATTCAGAGACATGGTGTGATGTCCAGACCTCACAGGTGTTGGACAAGGACTTCCTGAAAATCACACAGGACTGAACAGTGTTTGCTGCAAATCAAGGACAAGTAAAATCACACTTGGAAGAAGGGCTCTGCCTGCCAGAAAACAGCCATTTGCTCATGTTTTTAATGTCCATCTGTCCTGGTTTCAGTTAGGACAGAGTTAATTTTCTTCCTAGTAGCTGGAAGGGTGCTATGTTTTGGTTTAGGATGAGAGGAGTGCTGATGTTTTAAAACATGCTGATGTTTTAATTGTTGCAGAGCAGTGTTTACACCAAGCCAAGGACGTTTCAACTTCTCACTCTGTCCTGCCAGTGGGCAGGCTGGGAGTGCAGCAGGAGCTGGGAGGGGACAGACCCAGGACAGCTGACCCAAACTGGCCAAAAGTGTATTCCATACCATCTGACATCATGCTTAGCAATATATAGGGGTGGCTAGGCGGCGGGGGGCGGTTGCTTCCGGATGGGCTGGGCATCAGTCAGCGGGTGGTGAGCAATTGCATTGTACATCACTTGTTTTGTACACGTTAGTAGTAGTAGTACTATTATCATCATTATTGTTATTAATATTATTGTTATTATTATTTTTCTGTCTTAATAAACTGTCTTTATCTCAGCTCACAGGCTTCACTTTCCCGTTTCTCACTCGCATCCCAGAGAGGGAGAGGGGAGGGTGAGCGAATAACTGTGTGGTATTTAGCTGCTGGCCGGGTTAAACCACAACACCATCTCACTTTACGTTGTCACTTTATGTGTTTGGAAGCTGTCTATATTATTGGAAAATAAAAATAAAAAATAAAAGTTATATTCTACAAGGAGAAAACATATTAAGAAATTGATTGCCTGTGAAGAGACAGAGGGGAACCTCTGTGTCTTCCACTGTTGGAGAAAGTACAGGCAGAGACATATCTGTTTACTCACAGTCATATCACACCACTAGTGGACTCATTTAAGCTGCTGCGGATAAGGGTTTTTAATAGTTCTTAAGTTGCATGCAAGAGGTCCAGAAGAGTTCCAGGCACTTTTGAAAATTGTCCTAACTATGAAATCAATTTGCTTTTTTTGGTTGTTGTTGTTTTCTTTTGTTTTTGTTTGTTTTTTCTTCTGACTAGTAAAATGAGTAATAAAACCTCTTAAGGCTGTTAATCACAGGATGCTCACACCTGTTTTGCTAGTACCTTGGCCTACTAAATGAAGTAGGAACAGGAGGAGCAGCCTTGGCTTTGCGATTAACCACGTTTCCACTCCAGTCTAACTGAGGCCATCCTGAACTGATTCGTGGGAAACTAACTACATGAATGTATGGTTTCTACCCAACATTTTGCAGATGACAGCAGAAGTCCAGTACTAATGAGCTAGGGCTGATGGTTTTTCAGCACTGGAATGAGAATCTAAGTATGTATTCAACGTTTGACTAAGAGACTCAGTTCAGTAGATATGAGGTCTCTGATAGCCCTTACTTGCTGTGCCACTTTGAGAATGGCTTAGTTTTTCTCTATTTTGATTTTTTCTGCTGCTGAATAAGAACAATATTCTCTCAGTGTAAAGTGCTTTGATAGCATCCAAACGGAATTTCTGTAAGCACATTGTAAGTTTATTGTGTTATTGGACTTTGAATTTTACTCTTGGGAAAGTGCATTAATTATGTAAAGCAGACCAAAGTTTAGCAATGCTAATGGAGCTTAACTATTTAAAAAAGAAACCATGAGAGGTATCTTGAGACTCTGGGTTTTCTTTCCTTATGTTTTCTTTTGCTGCTCATCTGTGCTCTGTTTCTGGCAGCTGAGACATTTGTACATGAGTTGCCTGCTATTTCAGGAGATTCAGCATGGTAGGTGGAGTTGGTCCTGGCTGAAGAGAAGGCCTCTGCATGGCATCCCTGCTGTGGTGGAGCTCTTATGGGGGCTGTTCATTCCTCTTGGGAAAAGGAAGAAGGAAAATGCCCTGACAGCCACAAATCCATTCATCTTAATATCAAAGGCCAATTACATTGGTAAGGTATGATTTACCCTTGGTAAATCTATGCTGACTGTTCCCAGTCACTTTTTTCTTTCATCTATCTGTGAATGACTTCCAAGCAGACTTCATGATTTTTTTTTATTTTTTTTTTCGGGGACCAAAGCAAAGCTGACCAGCCTGTAGTTCCCCATTTTTTTTCTTTCAGTCTTTTTTTGAAGATGGGTAGAAAGTCTGCTTTCCTCTAAGCATCAGGACCTCTCCTGATCTCTGTGACCATTCAAAGTTAATAGAGTAGTCTCACTATGACATTGGCCAGCTACCTCAGCACCCTTAGATGCAGCCACTCTGGTTCCATGAACTGGGTTGTGTTGAGTTCTTGCAATTATTCCCTTTTTTTTACATCCACTGTTCATATTTCCTTTCTTCCTTGAACTGCACCTGTAGAGACCTGGAAGACCTTGTTAGTAGAGGCTGGGTCAAAAAAGGCAGTGGGAACATCTAATCTGCCCACTGTCACTGAGTCACCTATTCCTTTAGTAATAAGCCCACATTTTCTGTGTTCAGCCTTTGACTTTGGCAACTACATTCCCCAGAGTTTTCTCAAGAAAGTCTGGTCTCTTTGAGGTAGACTTTTCCTCTAATTGTAGCTGTTGAAGTCTCAAATCTTTATGTTCAGAGTCTTTTTGAGTACTTTATTTTGGAGTCTGAACAATTCTTTTAACTTACTTTTGTGTATGTATATATAAAAAATTGCTATGCTTTCTCACAGCAACATTCTGAATTGATTGAAAGTGATTTCAGAACCTTGGCTATAAAAGTTATGAAAATATGTTCTTATGGTGCACCTATTCTAGAGACACAATCCAAATTCTGCCTATGGAAAAACTTTAGATGCTTTCCAGAAGGAAGTTGTTTGTAACTAAGTTTCAATGTGAGCATTCAAACAATACAAAATATAAAACATTTTCAAAACAAAAGATGTTTTACTTGTTTTTAAAGATGGCATGTAGAGTTCTCATCTACGTATTTGGTAAAACACGTATCATGTCTTGTCTTCCCATATATTCATACAGTACTTAGCCTGGTAAGATATTATTCCATTTAATGAATTTGCTCCTTTCATAGATGTATGCCCAGAATTATCTCACCACTGGATATGTAGGCACCTGTTCTAAATTGTTTTCAATGACTCTAATTAGGCTTATTTAAATTTTAAATTGTAGCTTTCTCCCTTTATTTAGAATCAGATTCTCTTTTTTTTGTTGTTATTTTTGCTTTGTTTTCAGAAATTATGGGTTGTAAACAAAGATCCACATTAACAATTGCTGTAGTAGCTATAAGCAATATGTATTACTTCCATGATGTTCTTCCAGTTACAAGAAAATTGTAGCTAACCGCTTATTACTAAATCATTGCAAAAAGATTAGAGTAATAACTACCTTCTTAATGGTTTAAGACTGCAACCAAAATTAACAAACCATTTCACTATAGGAAAACTTGTACACCTTGATAGATATAAACCATAAAAATGTTATCAACTTTTTCTTTTTTTTTCTTTTTTCTTAAAATGGGCTTTGGGTTTTGACTTTTTAAAAAATGCTAGGCTGAAAAACATCCTGTCTTTCCTTTTCATGTATACTCATGCATATGTGAGTGAGTACATCTTCCAAACCATATGAAGTCCATATTTACCGACAGAAAAGAATCATGTCTTTAGTACTGGCCACTCATTTAGTTAGCCTGACCTTTGGTATGCAGCTCTCTTCTTGGAGTTGAGAGCATATATGGAATGGGAATCAATGAACTCAAGTTTTGATCATCCATTCAACTGAAAGGAGAGCGTACTGTACATGAGCCCCATTTCAGACTGCAGAAATTCAGCTTTCAGCACTTTAAGGGCTAGAGACCTGCTTTGACAGTAAAGGACAGATGAGCACTGGCTCATTATAAAGGAAGGACATTATGGTCTTTCCTTTCCTCTGGTTTCCTTCCTCCATTTCTGTTGGTGAAGGAGGAACTGAGGCTCAGCACAGAGGGTCCTTTGAGTGTAAGGAACATGGTCTGCAATTCTCAGCCAAGTGTAAACTACTAAGATACAATTCTTTAATCTCTAAATTTTCAGCCAGCAGCATTTTATTCCATATAACTTTAGTGTCCAACATGATGCAGACCTATTCTTTAGGGGAGTGTGGAGGTCATACCACAGAACTACTGATAATACTAAAAACTTAGCAGAATTATATAGCACCCATCTGTTGTTACAATGCTGTGAATGACTGTGTCAGGCTCAAGACAATTGAACCAAGCTCCCTGTGTAAGCAGAACTTTCTGACAGAGTCAGCAGTAGTTTTATCACCACCCTGATTAAAGAAACATTATCTTAGTAAATGTTTCTTGTCTGATAGCACTGGTTTATAATGTTGGTTCACTCAGTATCAAAATGCTTTAATGTTCACTCAAACTCATTGATGAGGAAGAATGCTAGGAAGCAAAATAAGTGGCCAAACAAGTGTGTGCTGAAGGTACTTAATATCTTAGTTTCATTTTATTATCATTAGTCAGCACTCAATAATGGGTTATGCATATTTCAAATCCAAATGATTAATTAGTAAGTTGTTCATTATGATTGTCTCCAATTTCATTTCACTTAGCAGATGTGATTGCCAGATTCCAGCAGCATAACCTGCAACCAACTAACTAATGCTGTGGAAGAGTTACTACTGAGAAATTTGCTTAGGGATAAGAAATACATTGTAGTTTCATATAGAGGCCATTTTTGCATGACATGATTATCACCCACTTTGGTGGCAGCAATAATCCCTATGGAATACAGAATATTATCATCTTTTTGTTAGCCTCCTGTTTTTATAATTACTTTAAACAATGAATCTCTGCATAGTTCTTTTCCAATGAAGAACATTGTTTCACAGAATGATCTAAGATGTTTGTTTCACAGAAGATTTTTCTGCATTTTATTTATGTTTCTTTTTTCTCATTTCAGTCATGGAGATCACTGAATAAGGCTTTTGTGCAAACTGACAGCACGTGTTGATTTAACCTTTTGTATTCCATGATTTGTGTATCTTTCCTACCATCTGACACCTATAAGGCACAGTGTTCCTGCAGTTTAATCATGAAAAAAAGTTTACACCTTTTTGTGTAATGTATGTAACATAACACATTTTTGTGTAACGTATGCCTTTTTGTTGTTTTGATTTTAAGTGAATGTATTTATAGAAACCTGAAAATCAAGTTTATATCCTTACAATACAGAGAATTATTAAAACCAAATGCTTCCTGTATTCATTATGGCTTAGAGGTAAAAACAACTAGGTAAATTACTGCCAGTGAAATACTCCAGCTTTAACAAAGGTTTTCTCTAATGATGATAGTAATTACAGCTGAGTATGTTCCAGGACTTTGAATTCTCAGGCACACATTTCATCCATGCTGTCACTTGGGATATTTAGATTTCAGATTTTTGTTTAAAATTATATAGCTGACCATGTATTTTTTCATGGTGATTGGAACAAGTAAATATGAGATCAAGGCACTTTGTTACCATCTCAAGATGCTGGTAAATAGCAACATCAGAATGGTGTGAAACAGATGGATGTCCTCATTTGTTTAGCAGGTGAGAAATTTCTCTGGAAATGGAAGGCTTTCAGCTCAGTTTTGTGGCAGTGCAGCATGGTGTAGTGTGAAGTGTAGAATATTATATCTTAACCTACTCTCAAATTAGTTTACAGGGTTGGGGAATAACCAGCTAATGATCAAGAAAATGAGATGATCACCTATACCGAGGGAAGGAAGCCAGGTATCTGAAGGTATCAGAGTTTGTGAGAAACTTTGTGATAGACTGTCTATAGTAATATTGCCACTGAGAGATTTGGCTATAGTTAAATGAATTATTTTGTTAAATTAATACTATTTTGAGATGATAATGTTTCAGAAGAAAATGCATCTGGTTTGGGGGTTGAGGGTAAGAGTTCTTACAAGTTTGTTCTTTCTATGAATGGCATTATTATAATAAGTTCTCTCTGGTTTTATTTTCTTATTTCAAATCTCATGGAGTAAAACCAGCTCCATGGTTTTACTGTGGACTTTTTACACCAGACTTGTTACCAAAGTAATTAACACAAGGCACTGCAATTCAGTTCCTGTCTGTTAAAGATTAATCCTTAGCCACTTTGTTCTCTTACATGCTTTGGACTACTGATACCATAAAGCTACAAGGCATCTGTTAAAATTAAATTGTAACAGACTGATATAATATGTCTGAAACACCATGCAGAATTAAGACCTATAGTCTGTTAGTGTGAATAATTACTACCTTGGGGAAGTCAAATGTCTGCTCCACAGTACCAGCCTTAGCTCAGTTGCAGGCCTGCAGGGGTCATGGGCAGGCTGAACTGCTCCACAAGATGCTCTTGGAAATCGCTGTACTTTTGTCAGAGCCTCAGCTGGCACTGTTTTGTATGTTATTGTTAAAACAAACAAGCAAACCCAAATTCTGCAAATCTAGGAATAATCTGAAATATGAAAGATCTTTGGAGTCCAAAATTTCAGCAAAGAATTCAGGTTCAGTTGGTTCTGAAGTAGCTGCTTGGTAGCTGCTGGTTCTTGCTAGCTGCTGAATGAGGACATCTTACAAAGGTAATATATCAAAAGCTCTGGCTGTGTATACAAGAAGTTACACTGAAAATGAAATCCAGTAAGGATTACAGTAGTAGGTATTGTACTACACTGGTACCTAGATTCTCAAAAAGCTCACTCCATAAAATATTAAACTGAGCAAAATATGGTAGTATATTTACAGCTTTAGCAGAAGCAAAGATATTGAAGGTATACAAGGTATTGGACAAAACTGAGATGTTGTGCAAGACGGGATGTTTAGAACCATATAGCTTCCTCTCGTGCTGAAAGATCTATTTGTTTCAGGACTTGAGAATACAGTTTAGTTTCATGTTTCTAAAGCCCGAACCTATTAGAAGGAAAGCTCTGCCTTCCAGACTGCTCCAAAAGAAAACAAATGTTATTTACTTATTTATTCATTTATTTTCTTGCTTAGAATGATTTAACATGGAAACCTAACTTGTTGGGACTATACTAATCTTCCTCCCAAAGCGGCAGCTTTGGACTGTGTTGCATGACACTGATACCAGTACTGAACAGATATCGTATCCAGGCAGTTTGAATGTTTGCTTTGCTTTGATTTCCAAAGCTTGGTCAAGAATAGCTAGCACATCAGCATACACATGTGCTAGATCTATAGGAGAGTGACAGAACTCTCTGACTAGTTTTGTAGCAGGGTTATTTGGTAAGGTTGTGGGGTGGTTTTTTTTGTTGGTTTTTTTTTGTTGTTGTTGTTGATTGACGGGTTGTTTTTTGTTTGCTTGCTTGTTTTCCCCCTGCAGATTAATGTAGCAGGATAATCCTTGTACTATCAAAAACAGCTATGAGTGGCAGTGAACTTACCAAGAGCCTGATAATCAAAAATGGTACCACTGAGAGTTGTTTGTTTTCTGTTAACATAATAAACAATTTATTTTAAAGGTGAATCCAAATATCCAAGCCCTCTCAGAAATGGAACAGCATGTGTCTTTAAGGACAAATATAGGGTTCTGTTTCCCAAATTTTTGTCTGAAACAGAACTTTGAACTGCACTCTGGCCTCAAAAGAACAGGAAAAGACTAGTGGTATTATTCTTAGAAAGAGATAAAAGACCAGTGGTATAAGTTTTAGATTTTTTTATTTTTTTTTTTTGTGTAAGTACTGGATTCAAATGAGTCGTTTTTAGCTGGAGGTTTTCCTTCTAAACTGAATTGAAAGGTACTAACCTAATCCAAAGAAAAGTGGAGAGTAGGGTTGCACAATGGGATAAGTTTCTCTGTTCTCTTGTTTGTTTTATGGAATGAAGTGTGATTATTTAATTTAGAATCAATTTAGTAGAGTTATTAGAAACTTCTATAGAACGTTTTTCTATAGAAAGAAAATAGAGATGTGAGAAGATGTGAAAACCAAGACTGTGGGACAGAGTATTGAAAAGGACATTGTTTAAAGTTGAGACATGAAAGAAAATTATAAGCTGCACCCCAATAGTTCTGCAGAGGCAGAATTATGCTAAGCGCATCAGACTCACTGAAACATGACAGAAAACTCTCTAAGTTGTGTGACCTTTTACAAAAGGCTGCTTGAAGTATCTGAAAAAGTAGCAAGTAGAGTAATACAGTGAGTCTCTTATAACTACCAGCCAGGTTGATTTTGTATGCATTGTGTATTGTAGTTATCATCTGCAGGACAGAATGTCAAGCTAAACATCTTATTGAAAGTGAGGTGGCAACAGTGTCATGAAATAGCATATACAATAATTCTGATATGCACTGCCACTTTAGTGAGCCTTGTGCATATCAAGAAATCCAAACCAAATAAAGACATTTTCACAGAAAAATAATTGAGAATAAGGAAGGCCTGCTAATTTCACCTGGGACTGCTGGTACAAACTCAAGACATAAGCATCCTGATGTCAAAGGGAAAAGTAGCTATTTGTTGAGCAGGACATTAGTGAATAAGAACCTAATATACATACATATATATATATATATATTTGTTCTGTTTTGTTTTCCACACAGCTGTTTTCCACACAGCTTTGGAAAATATAAAAGCAGATTCCTAAGGCAAAGGACACAAACTGGTACTCCCAGAAGAAACGTGAAATATTAAAAGTGCCTTTTTAATACTTCAGCTCAGTTTGAGAGGAGATTAGTTTCTAAGTAGAGACCCTGCTGCTTTTAATAAACTGGATTTCTCCTTAGTGTTGTTTTCTGCTGCTATGCTTTATTATTTCTGTATTCATGGCAAAATTTTGAGAAATAGAAATGATGTTACTGACAAACTGAATTGTTTCTGTTTAAGGACAGATGTTTTTTATATGACATCTATTAAGAGAACTATGGATTTTTGAATACTTGTTTAGGAAAATTTAAAACAGCACATTAGCACACTTATTAAAATGTGTTTTTCTCGGTAGAACCTAGTTTTCAAGAACCTCATACACTTATTAATGTATAATTAATTTAGATGCATGATATAACCAGTATTTTTGAGTTATTCAAATAAATTCAAAAGTTTGGGGAGAAAAAATACTTCCTGAAATAACCCCCAAAATATCTAAGCATCTTCTGTTTATAGATAATATCTTCCTATCTCTTCCAATAATAAAGATACCACAATAAAATTTACATAATAAAAATACATCTTTTTGTTTTGCTTTTCCTATAAGACAGAATCAAAGTATGGAGGAAACTCAGTCAATCATCCTAAAGATTTAGCAGGCCCATATGAACAGAGGGAGAGTAAATAAAACACCATTGGCAATTTAGCATTGTTGGCTGGGCTTTATCTCTCAAGATATACTCCCTGCCATGAGTCTGGTTAATGCACCTTGCAGCTTGGTCCCTCCATCTATACTGAATTCTGGTTGATGTCAGCTCTCAGTACCATGGCAGAAGGTAGTTAAATACAAGTGCCAACTCTTGAGGGTGTTGTGCTGTACCAGAAAACATTTCAGGTCAATTGAATAAAACAACAGTGTTCATTTTGGTTAAAAATAAGTAAAAGAGTTTTCTCTTGTTTTTCCTGTAATGTTTTTTTGTTTTTAAATGACTTTCACTGCAGAAGATTTCAGTTTTGAGGATGCTTCATTTTTTGTTAAAGGAGTTATTCCCTAAACCTATTTGGTTCCTGAAATGGTAATCATATCAAAAAAGTAATTCCATCTCTGGTAAGTGAGAGGTCCAGTAATATGTCTTAGGTAGCATTGATAGTGCATACAGTTCATGTAAACACAAGAATGATGGCTTTTATGAATTGCAACTGACATGAGCTTCACAGGTGACAAATCCAAGAACACATCAGTCTGATAACCTGCTGGCAACTATTGATAAAATGGGAGGGTGGTTGGTTGATGCACTGCCTTTTTTATTGTATTTTATTTTGTATGATAGGTGTGGATTTAAACTTATTCTAACTATAAACTACAAGTCTTGGCTGACTAAGCTTAATTCCAGTGAGAACAGCTAACTCTGAGAAAACAAACAAAAAAGACAGTACTCATTCTCTAGTTCTAACTAGTAGGACCAAAATAAGGGTTAATATTAAAAGAGATCTTCAGCCATGAGGTAAACAGAAATTAATATGCCTGTGTCATAAGGAACATCTTAGTTATATTTGTGAAGCCAAAATAAGAACCTGCTGGAAATGCTAACTCATCTTCTAGTGACTCTTACAGTTTTCAGCAGAACAGGTGGCTAAAGCCCACTTGCAAGATGTATCATGAGAGTAATTTATAATGTCTATGTAGTGTTTATCAGAATATAAATATATGAAAGATAAAACGTGCATACAAAAGATAAAACACAAAGACAGTTAAGTAAGCTGTGCTGCCTAAAAGCTAAACATCTTCAAAGAGATGTATTGTAAGGCAAGCAATTTCAGACAACAACAAATGATCGTCAACTCTATAAAATAGTTTCAGGTGTTGGCACCTCTCATCCTATTGCAATGACTTTCACAAGTCTAAGTAGCAGCTCATTTTTTATGCTAATGTAACTTCAGCAGTTAATTGTGAAAGATGAAGAAAAACAGGTCAGCTGATTGTTCCAGCTGTTTGGGCTGAGAGGTGTCATATGAAAAGGACTTAAATCTATTACAAGAGAGAAAAGTGAAATACATGTGTGTGTGATTGTTTGATGTATCTTCTGGGGAGAAGGGGTTTTGCTTTCTCTTTTGCTCTCCTCCCCTCCAATTCTTTAATGTTGTATTCATTCTAGGAAAATGTCAGATGACATATGGATTTTTTTTAAAAAGTTAATTTTGACCAGTCATCAGTGCTTTGTATGAGATGGACAATGACGGCTTTGGCCAAATTATGAGCCCTTTTACTTGAAGCTCTGGTTCCACAGGTGCTCACTATCTGATATCAACAGAAAAGGAGAAACGTGTTATACTGATCAGTGGCCATTGATTCTTCCTCCTCTTGGGAAACTCAACTTTTCAGGAAACACATGTACAGATGTTGCTCACGCTCACAAAATGGTTGTGGAATGCTGACAGGAAAGTCAGGTGCTGTTTTATGTTGATATTTCCTTACTGTTTAAACCTGTGAGCAGGTTTCTGTTGAGTTACTTGCACTTCTTGGCTCAGAAAGTCTGGATAGCAGTCCAGGTGCCACACAGATGGTGAGTTTGATTTTTAATACATGCTCTTAAAATCCTGATGGTACTATTAAAGTTATTGTTTGTCTTACCTCAAGAGGACAATAAATTCTTTTTCAGGACTAGGAAAAAACAAAACAAAAAAAATTGAAAAACAGTAAACTTGAAGCGTTGTATTATGTGAAGTGTAAGGCTGATTCTAGAGAGCAGTGTTCAAAAGTTTTTGTTGTTGTTGTTGTTTTGTTTGTTTGTTTTTTAAATCTTATTCCTGATGTGTACACTATTCAGGTCTTTTGCAGAGGCTTCGTTTTGTCTTCCATTACCTAATTTGCTGGGATGGCTTTAAGGCTGATAAGAATGCTAATGAAAAGTAAGTAGTTGAGATATCTTTCACATATGGGTGGATTTATCATTTACTCTCTTTCTCAGATGGTGCCACCCTAGTCTCTTGGGGAACATCTACCTATTCTTGGTAGTCTGAAAATGTGAATTTTCTCCTCTGTGATCAGAAATGTTTCAATGCATATTTCTGTAGCTTGGGAATACAACCAGGTTTGAAACAATCTTTGGGTGATATTGATTGAATAGTGGTCAGGATAGCTTTCTTTTATTTGAACTTGACTCTAGTTGGTAAGTGGTCTTTATATTTGACTGCCAGATTACTTCCCTCTCCCCCTTCCCCCCAATCATGTTTATGCCATCTGAGAATATGATGTTTCTAGGCCTTTTTGCTTGAGATTATGTCTTTAATTATATTTGGAAGCAGATAGTTGGTTATTAGCTGGATTATTAAGTCTTTCATTTTGCTAACTCTGAAATTTTCAGAGATTGTCAGTCTTGTTCTGAGAGCTCCTATGTAATTTCACAATTGACTATGCTTCTGCATACTAGTTTAGGACAGAAGTGCTAAAGCTGGAATTTCTTTGATTTAAGGGAACCTATGAGCATCCGTGAACATTGGAAAATTTCTTCTGATCTCACGTTTGTTTTACTTAAGATATTGTCAGCAATATTTATGGGGTGTTTATTAGTTGCTATGGGTTTAAGGGCATGTCAAATATGCCCAGAGCACAGGATAAATGTGTATTTGTCATCACTTGAACCTGAAGAACAGGTATGATAATGGTGCATGAAAGTGCACGAATTAAATTATGCTTTAAAATGCTTCTTGGATCACAGCTTCAAAACTGGAACTGTGTTTAACACTCAGCTATGCAGACATTTCTTCATTATTATGGAGCATAGTCAATATAACCATCAGAAAGTGTACATATAGGTATCTGTGAGTCCAACAGTACAGGATGCAGCATCCCATGAATTATTATTGCTTTTCAAAGAACAAAACTTGTCACTTTTGACAGACAGTCTTCGCTTTAGAAAACTCAGAGTTTAGAAACTTTAGAGACTTTACACTTTAGAAAACAGCGTGGAACAGTACCTTTGAAGTGCACAGCTCCAGCTAGTGGTTTTTTTGTTTGTTTTTTTGCTAATTCAAAATATAATTCTAAATGATGCCATAATTTCATTTTACATTATAGAGAAAAAATAATGGTAAAATGCTTTCGCTGATAATTAAAATAAGCAAACAGATATGATCTGTGATGGAAAGCCCAGAACTTCTGAGTTGAGAATTGTCAGACTTAAAGCTTTCTGTTGGCTTCCACCTAGGAAAGGGGATGGCAAAGAGACCTAAATGTAACTCTTACCCCCAGCCTTTGTTTATGACTGCATCTAGCTCTGACTTGCACAGAACCATAAATATAAAGCCCATTAAATAAGAAGACCTGTAACTGGATCCATGAAATCAGTTGCATGCAAAAAGTCAATGATGCTTAACTGTCAATTTTGATCATGGGATGGAGACCAATATTTTTATTTAAGTATTATATAAGTGCACTTTCAGAAACCTCCCTGTCTGAATTTTGGGACTGAGTAGGGTCCTATTTTAATTTTCAGATGGAGTGGAATTATTTCAGGAGGACCTCTATTCTGGTTTTTGATTTAGCTCAAGAGGCTGCAGACTCAAGCCAATGGCATTTCTCTGTATGTCTGTAAAAGAGTGACTTCCAAACATCACATCTGATTGCTAGCAAAACTTTAGGGAAAGTTTCAAGCTTTAATAGCCAGGACCTTGATGATTTCACAGAAAAGTGCTAAGAGAAAACGAGAGACGCATGGAGCTTCTGTTCTCTCTCAAGTACAGCTGTAGTTTTAGTCTCATTAAATCAAAGATCTGGTTAATGACCCCACTATAACAAAGGAGAAATGCTGACTGCTTCTGGTAGTAGTTTAAAGTGTTGTTATTCCAATTAACTGCCTCCTGGGAAAGTATAGGTGGTAGGAGATGGAGGTGAAAATGGGAGATGCCAGGAAGTGTGGAATGGTAGTTTGGGTAGAGTTAGAATATCCTTCCCAGTAAAGAGAGAGAAAACAGTTCAAATGCCAGCAGGGAATGAAAGAGTGAATATGATTGCGCAGAGCCAAGGTAAGAGAGGAGTGCTATAGGACAAAAATGGGCAGCACAAAAGACAGTTTCTCTGGCTGTTGTGGACCAGAGAAATGTAGAGGTTCAGCTTTCAGGAAGGAAGAAATATGGGGGGAGGTTCATGTAAGGAGGCTGTAAGGTGCAGAGCATGTTGGTGGTCTGAAATGTGGGGAGTTTCTATAAGGCGCACTTGAAGAATGCTGCGCAGGTGATGAGGAGGAGCTATGCTGCCCTGGGGGGTCTCATTGCTGGAATTAGACAGTGCAAGGGAATGGGGAGAAATTCTGCATCTTCGCTGGGGCAGCAGAAGAGACAGCAATGTGGAAGGCAGAGAATCTTTGGGAGGGAAGAAGGAGGCTTTGTAACAAATCTAATTTGGACTGATGGGAAGCTGTGGAGGAGAGACTTGGGAGGAAAGCAAGAAACCTCTATGGTATGTTGCAAGCTCAGCTTACAGAAGCTACAGAGTGTATGACCCCCTCGTTAACTTCATTTCACAATGTTCCCTGCATGCTTTGTGTAGCTTCCAAGTAACACATGACATCAGCAATCTTAATAAAAACCACCTGCTTGGTACTTTTTATGTTCAACTCTGTAAACTTTCCTAGTCCAAAATATCCAGTGCTATCGGTAACAGGAGTATAATTAGTTTTCTCTAAATTTGCTGAACTTTGTTAAATGGGTTCTTTCCGTAAGGAGAGAAATGTGAATTTATGCACTTTAGCTCCGCATATTTGAAAATTATCTTTTGGCTGTACAGAATTTTACACTGATAAATACACCTAGTCTACTTCTACCAGGTTGATGACCTGTGTTTCAAGGATAAATGAATGGCCCCTGTGCACCAGGGAAGTGTAGGGTGTAAATGGCCATTGATCTAATGGGAAGAATGTTCAATACACCCCAGAAGATCTCTTTAAACTTCAGGTGGCCTGGAGTCCTTCAAATCATACAAGAAACGATGTTTATACATCCTTCAGCACAAGGAAGAAGCTGCTGTGAGCCAGAGGTAATTAATATAAGCAGTTAAAGCAACTGCTTCAATAAAATAAGTTCAAGAAAAAATTGCTTAGCTCTCCGCTGTTGTGTTCCAAGACAACCAAGGTTGTAATGTTCCTGTCTGTTAAATATTAGCTTAGTATCCCTCAATACATAACACAGTATAAAACGCAGCATAAGAAGGATCACTCTCCCTCCCCCCTCCCCCCCCCCCCCCCCGGTTTATGTTGATAAGCTTCTTTTTTTGTTTGCTTCTTTGTTTTTTGTTTTTAGATTTTGACCAAAGTTTGCAAAGTTCTCAGGAGAAAACAGATGTGCCCTTCTGCAGGGGTCTGTGTGTTTTTGAGGAGTCTGAGTTTTCATTATAGAGCCACAGCCAGAAGTCAGAGCTCCTTCCTGTGGCTCCCTTCCTTTCCAGTTTTATCTTTTACTAGAAACTAAAGAGAGCTCTCCTCAAGGTAGATTCACTGTTTTAAGTGAATGGAGCCATTGGTCAGAGCCTTCTGAACAACTTTTTGCCTTACCACAAAAGATTCATGCATAAGTCTGGTTACTGAAAACTTGTTTTAGGACAGGGAAGAAGTTAACGACCCTGAGATTTTACTGTTTAAATCAGCAGAACATCTTTGGGGTCTAGCTAGGACAAATGGAAGGCCATAGGGCAATACTAGTTGTGTTGCTAATTTTCCAGAGTGCATTTTTCTGAACTTGGAAGAAAAAGATTTGCCTGAAGGGACACACAGCTATGGGGACACATTAACAACTTTTTAACATGGAAGTTCTGTTTCTTACAAGACAGAAATAAAGCAAGTGGCTTTCTGTAGAGATTGGTGGTGAGAAGAAGGCTTGAGACTGACCTCAGTGCACTTTCCAGCAGGGCCTGCAGCATGGCAGAGAAGCCTTGAAATCTGCTGCCAGAGCTCGAGGCCTCAACTAGCACAGCCATCATGCTATCTTGTGCCTAGTGAAGGCCAAGGACCTGTCATACTGCCGTTGCAGTCATTGTAGGAGCTAAGCTTAACATGTCGGGCTCAGTCTGGAAGTTAAAAGTGGATGAGATGCTGTTGCTTCAGTCTCCCTTGAATTACATGCAGTGTGGAAACAGAAAAAATGTCCTTGAGTGAGGATTTCTGGTTCAAGTCTTTTGGAAAGAAATGGAGTAAACTGATTTTCATTTGCACTTAGTTTGTAATCAATGCTGCCTGCCTTTGCTTCCATCATTCAATCTCCAGTGTCTTTCAGGTTCTGTTGAGGACAGACCATGAGGGCATTATGACATCTAGTACAAAGCAACAAAATTATTATAGATGAACATGTACATATATAAATGCCACAGACTTTATAATCTATTTTTTCACTTCCCCCACCCCTTCTTTTTTTTTTTCACATTGACATGTGGGTAGCAGTAGTGTAGAACAGAGATGTATATTTTTGTCTGTTCAGGACATGAGAAAGGGCACAGAGCTTTCTGTTTCAGCAGCTGTTCTCAGAAGCCAGCATGCTAACTGTATTTATTTATTAGTGGGTTGTTTGGGATAGGATTTTTTTATTTTTTTATTTTTTCCCAGAGTAACTTGTTGCAGTTCTGCTGTAATCAGTGGACATGCTTTCACTTTCTTACACCAACAAAGCAATTGGCCCAAGATAATTTCTTGGATTATTCTCCTTTGACCTTCAGATTCCCCAGATTAAGTGGTTTATTTGTTTGTTTGTTTGTTTGTTTTCCTCTTCCATTATCATCTAGCTCTGAATGCATTCTCTTGGTAGGTGGAATAGCGGAAGTATACATCCCATGTTTTCTGAGAACATGGAACATAACCTTCAGAAATGAATTTCTTGCTCCTCTAATTCAGAAGCTGTTGAAATAATTACATCTGGGTGAAAAA